AATCTATTTGTGGCTACATGAGCTACTTAAAAAATAGACCTAAAATTCTTTCTTGATGCTTTCAGCATTTCTTTCAATCTTTCTTTAATGCTATGATTTATATTTATGATGCAATATTTAGATAAAAAATAATAAGATAGTTTTTTTTATAAAATTAGCTCTATTAATTTCTTCACCACATTTGTTATTATGTTACGATGTGATCAATTTTAGGTGATCAGGAAATATAAGAAGAGTTAGAAAATAATTGGTAGAAAGAGGAGGAAAAACATAAGGAAATGAAATAGGAAAACAAGAGTAAACTGGAAGCCTTATAGAGATAAGTTCTCTTTTTTTTCCCTAATGCATAACACACAATTAAGTAGTAATTATAAAGTAGATTCGTTATAAGGAGTCATATTCTTCCAACGATTCCTAAATTTCATATTGTGAACTAACTCAAAACACATATTTGACTTTCTGTAAAATTAACTTTTTACTCTAAATAACAGAAAAATATAAAAGTACAATCTAAATTAAATATGTCCAAAAGTATATACGTGTAGTTACATTAAGCGATATGAAATCTATTTTGTTCATTCAATTCAATTTTTACTTTTTGTGTAATTACTAGTAATCCTTTACATGTTGAATTTGGTATATATTCATTAATTTTATTTTCGAATCACTTATATTTTTAGCTTAAATTCATTGAATGAAATTTTATTTCATAATCCTCCATATATAGGAAGATTAGTTAGAATTTAGTTCTCAAAAAACATAAATAAGAGAGTTTAATTATTATAATTGTAATATATTATTAAACTATAAAATATGGAAGAAATGTAGCAATTAATTTCTTAACAAAATGATGAAGCTTGTTTAGAAATTAAAGCAAATGGGACAATTACATACATATACAAATATTTTAACTTCTAATACTATACTATACTATATCTATTTTTACAATATAGTTTCTCAATGAGTAGTGTAATTTGACCCACAAACTAAATTTTTTTATGTAATTTCTTCATTTACAAATTGAAAATACATATATATATATATAAGGTTAATTTCTATTGTTGTTGGAAATATATTTGTTTTTTTATTTTTGATATTTTTTGTGGTACAGTTTGAGAGAAGGATTGTGGCTAATGGTAGAACCAGATGAAACAAAAGTTGTTGAATGCTATATGTTCAGTTTCCTTCATAGCTGATGCTAAGAACTAAAAACTCACAAGTCTTTAGTAATGTAAAAATATGTAATGAATAAAAATATGAGTTTGCAAGAAATAACTTATCATCACTCTTTAATCACTCTCTCACACAATACTTTACATACTAGTTGAATTTTTTCAATTGATCTGGAATCAACCGAGGAAATGTATTAAAAAGTTCTATTGTCAAGCATTAATTTAGATGGCATGGTGATGATTAACGAGACAGAAAAATGTCATAACCAATAAAAAATGATTTACAAGACACAAAAAATATTATAATCGAACAATAGAGTTAAAATAATGTGAGAATATTCTCAATTTACAGTGAACTCTTTAAAAGAATGTCTTTCACTCCTATAGTACTATGTATATGATATAAAGTCTGTAAATAGGAAACAATTTGTTTAATCTCCAGTCCAAAAAGATGTTTCAAGCTAATGTTAATCCTAAATCAACATATCATCTTTACATTAAGATCCTATGATACCCGAATCACTGCTCAAAAGCTTTAACCCCCAAATAAAATGAAAAATAAACCATTGTTATCATCACCATTATACATTTAAGTTGTTTATATAGGTAAGTTGAGCCACAAATTGAAGTTACCTATCCTTCTGTGAAGGCAGCTTCAGAATCTTACATTATGTATATCTTTTGGGAGTTCTGTCAACCATATTTTCTCTTGGGGTTAGCACTTATCATACAAGAAAAGGCATTGACAAGCTCATAATCCTTTTCAGTTATCAGAATTTTGGCTGCACTTGGGTCTGCAAGTAGAAGCTTAGCCATAAGGTATCCAACAATTGACCATGTTTGGAATAACCGTGCTTGTTTCTTGATCAACCTTCCTTTTTTCGTGTCATAGTATTAAGGCCACTTGTCTCTTGATATGCGTCTTTCAGCAACTTCAATAGTTCTTGCAGCGATTTATGGTCTTTTCATCTTTATGGTTGCAATAGTAAGTTGTAAAAAGTCCATTTTTAAAATCTTAAGCCACACTACCAACATTCCTTCCTTATTGCTTTATTTTATAAAACATTAACAAGGTGCCATATCCTATTGGATTCAAGCATGACAACTCAGGAAACTTCTACCTAAATATAACTTCTACAAAGGGTTCTCTGGAGCAATTAACAAAATATTAGCAGCAGAGAGAATATTTAAGCATAACAAACTAACCTGCCATAACAGAGTTGGCTAAGAAACACCGTTGTGGTAAGACCAAGACCTGCATTAGAAGGAAATGTAGTGAGAAATGTTGAAGATAATGAAGAAATAGATCATAAATAAATAATACGAGAGTAGATATCTTACGTGTTCTTAGGATCACTACAAGTGATTATTTGGCACATCTAACCTTCAAGAGTGGGATAACATATCTTAAATGGCATGTCTGCTACCAAATCTGCCCATTTTGCTTCAATAAGATCAAGTATGGCGTGTGACTAATGAACTATTGCCAGATTGCTTACACAGACCACATGTTTTTTAGAGAAAAAATTGGAAATCCATATGTGCTGTCTGTAAGTTTTCATTGATTACCTCCTTTATAGCATCATCACCACCAAGGAGAATTGATCTGGGTAATGTGACTATA